TCTTCAGGGATTTCTGTAATATAAGACCTACCACCGAACTAGGTCTTATTTTCGGGGAAACACGGTAGAAAGCCAGTCTGTGGCAGCGGAGGGAGCAGAGCCGCATTAGCCGCTACTTCGTCTATAGCGCCGGTTACTGTGACAGGCGGAGTGACACCAGATGCACTCCGCCTGTGAAAGAATTAGCCGCTATCTCGTATATAAACTTGTACATGAAAAACTTTGGATTGTTGTACATTTTGTTGCACATTAAAATAAAAATAAAAGACATCCCCTGAAAATAAGACTTAGGGCCTGTTCACACGACGTCCGTTTTCTGTGCTGACCTGATCCATACGCTCCTGCACTAAAAATGCATCCCAATGTATCCCTGTGTGTTTTATGGGCTACAGTTCTCACGTGCGTTCAGGTTACGACAGAAAAATACTGCATGTCACATTTTGTACGGTCAGGAAACGCAAAACGCATCAAAAACTCGTCAAAAACGCACTGCAGCTAACATACTGACAGCCCCACTCCAGCAAAAAGTGGAACGCATCAAAAACATGGCAAAACACATAGCACCGCGTCTGCTGATCCGCACCTGATCCGGACCTGAAACTCATGTGGGGGAAAAAAAATATAAGACAGTGTCTTATTTTCGTGGAAACACGGTATGTTGTGCAATGCTTACACAACATAAAGAAGATGTTTGAAGACGTCCTCCCTGTGGACTGGGATCCCGGGAGATGTTTAGACATAAATAGTAGGGGGAGAGGGAGAGAGAGGGGGGGAGAGAGAGAGAGGGGGGGAGATAGAGAGAGAAGGAGAGAGAGAGAGGGAAGGAGAGAGAGGGAGAGAATGCATCCGGCAGGGACACCGACAGCAATAAGAGAGAGAGCAGGTGGAGGCGGAGCACACAGGACCCGACCTGCGGGGGGGCTTATGAGGGGGGGGTCTCAGCACACAATGGGGCAGAGGGACCAGAATGGAGGGACACATATAACAAGGGGGTTCCAGCAATTCACAAAATCGGAATGCAGCTGCATAAATCATTACACTCATGGGAGAGTAGCACCGCAAGACCCAGCAGTGCTCATAGGGTAGCAATCAGCCAATGCAAAACTACAAGTCCCAGCAGTCTGCGATGATGAATTGTGAGCTCTGTGATGAGTTTCCGGACCCCCTGTGTGAGCCCCGGAACCTATCGATCAATAATGCCGATCAGATGAATGATTGACACACTGATTTGTTTATCATGTAACGTGTTTTGTAGAGACTGCTGATTTTACTCTGACATCTACTACCGTCTTTCCCCGAAAATAAGACACTGTCTTATATTTTTTTGGGGTCAAAAAAACACACTAGGTCTTATTTTTTTTATTTTTTTTTCATGTACAACAATCCAAAGTTAGTGCAAATCCAAATGAAATAATCCAAAATGGCAAAGTTAAGAATAGGGTGATCAGGGCAATCAGGGGTGCTGTAGCTTTCCAAAAGCATTTTGGTAACCAGAATGAGCAAAGCGCACTTTCATTCCTCACAGGCGGAGACCATTTGGTATCACTCCGCCTGTGACAGGAGCCGCGCTGTAGAGGAAACATCGGCTTATGCGGCTCTGCTCCCTGCGCTGCCGCCTCGCTTCCTCTAGCGCTGGCTTCGTTGGCACCGCTGAATCTCTTCAAGTTCCCCCTTATGCCACCTCCGGCCCTGGGAATGGTCACAACTAGGTCTTATTTTCGGGGTAGGTCTTATATTTTAGCAATTTCCAAAAATAGTACTAGGTCTTAATTTCGGGGTAGGTCTTATTTTCAGGGAAACAGGGTATCAGTGTTCCTTGTCCTCGTAGTACATAGAGATGAATACGGAGAAAAGCTTAGAACATTTGTTGTCAATGTACATAGGGGGGCCCCTGACCTCACGCAAGGGCCGCACATTATGTTCAGTGTGCTGGTGAGGAATGTCAGCCTGCAGACATACTAGAGGAAATGTTGGTGGCAGCCAGTGCCGTCACAAGGGGGGCGCACCCGGGTGACACCATTGGAGGGGTGACACCAAAATGAATGACAGTCATTTTGGTGTCACCCCCTTTAAAAAGTCGAGCACTCTGTCATGGACCGAGAGCCCGACAGTGTCAAGAGAGAGAAGGGGACCCAGCAGCATACCTCCACGCC